GACAAGTACTATTAATTTTTTTGTGCAAATATGCATTCGTTGCACATCATTGATGTTATTAACATGTACACATAGTAAATAGTAGTATGTATTGAAACGAATTTCGAATGTTCTTATACAGAGAAAAACCAATGTAGAAATTAGAAAAAAAGTTTCCCAGCAAACATTTGGAGTCGTAAATGAGTCTTTAAGGAGTCCTATTTCGGAGCCATTACGCTCATAATGAGCTCATTTAAGAGTCCGATATGAGGGTGTTTCCCTTTCTCCGAAGGTCGACTTATATGAGCTTAAATTCATACATCAAATGAATTGCCTCGTGAAGGAAAAAACTATTTCTAGTTTAGAGGTTGCTCCGCGTCTAACCACTCAGCCACAGCATAGTTAATACTCATATGATTTATAAATATTTTCAATAGAAAAGGAAGGGATATCCCCGTGCAGTGAAAGAATTTGCTACAGACTTTTTGAATTGGTCAAGATTTTTCCGACTAAACTTTGGAATTAAAGACAGCTACATACGAAATGGGAGGTCCTTAAATTTAAATATGTACATATATCTTTATTGGATTTTAAAAGCTGTTGTTTACATTTTGCATATTTACTTATCACTGTCATTTCCGTTACTACACCAATGTTATTATTATGCTCTATTTTTCGAATGTGTACATATAAGGGCGTAGCCAGAAACTGGTGTAAGGGGGAACGAAACGAAATATACTTGTTAATTTTTTGATATATTTTTTATTTAATCATTTTTGCGTTAATAACAAACGTCTCGGTTTTCGGCAAATTTTCCTATTATTTCCTCCTGAATCATCTCGCGGTTTTCGGTTACGAGTTTTCTATGGACGCTCATGAGGCATAGTCCAGAAAGCCTACTCTACGAAGTGTACTAACCGGTCACTTCACAGTCGCTGTTGTGCATGGAAAAGTGCTCAAAAGGGAAATACACTCATTTATCGCTGATATAAATTCGTTTTTTTCGTGGCGCCAGATTGGAAAAACCCCCCTAGAGTGGAACGTCTATCCGAACTTAAACTCCTTGCCTTCCCGCTGTAATGTACACCCCCGGGTACTACTATTTCGTAGGGAGGCGGTTTTGAGCACTAAGCTCTATCGTACGTTCCTGTCTTAGCGCAGTTCGTCGTAAACTGCACCTGCGTGGCCTCACCCCTGTGAGTCATTTAAACCCACCCTACACACCAACCCCTTTAAACACACACGCCACACATTAAAGTCGAGTATCAGGATCGTGCGTATGTATTGTTGCATGCAGTACCCTCCAGTACTGCTGGAGTCAATCGCTACATTTGAAGCACTACTCCACCGCCTCCTAGGTAAGTAGTTACTCTATTAGCCCGTGGTAATGAACAAGGTAGTGCAGAGTCGAAGTGACTACTTTAGTAACTCCCGGTAGTGCAGAGAGAGCCGATGGTCACTACCGCCTAGGACATTGTCTTGTAAAAGTAATCGCTGAAATACACTGCAAGTAGTCGGTCGGTAATTGACGGAGTTTACCAGGTAGCTACCGATTCATCAGTCGCTCCCCCGCACTGCAGGGTATGTATATTTGCATACATGTAAAACCGTTGGGCATCACGCCTCTCACCTGGCGTATATAAATTTAATATGTTAGGTAGAAGTTACGCTATATATGTACGATCAAAAAGCTGTTATCAACTAGTATAAGTAGCGGGGAACTAAATTAAGGCTTGATGATAGAATTATCTAAGAGACGACGGCTTTCGAAAGATAAAATTCCAAATCCACCGACAAATTCATTTTTGTAGGTGATCAGTTCGGTTTATGTGGTAGAAAAAACTTAAATTTTGGCTTACTTTAAGTACAAATTTGAGCCTCTAAAGTGCTCTAGAAACTTTCGCAGATACACATAACCTTCATTTTCGGAGTATAAAAATTCGACAAAAAATGAGCATTTTAAGGCAAAAAATTGTTGAAAAATTAGCTATTTTTATTACCAAAATGCTCGAAAACCACTTAAATGTTTTTATTTTCGTTTTCTTTAGTAAATATTCAAGATTTTTCATTTCGTTTGGTAAATAGGAAGTATTGGTTTATACCTTGTAAGTATGTTTATTTGATTCAAATATATGGGCATACATGATTTTTCATACAAAATCACTTCGTCATCTTTTTGCCAACACTTGCTGGAAGTGTGAAAAGGGGACAAAACTTTGTATGTGTATTTCGATGTTTGAGTAACAGATGGCGCAGCTTCGGACCAATATTTATAACCTAATCGCAGCTTATGTACATCATACATAAATACATATGTATGTAGGTTGATTGCACCCTGAAGTACGGCGGAGCGACTACAGGACTGATCGGCTCTCTCTGCACTACCAGGAGTTAGTAAAGTTCATAGCATAGGTCAAATAAATTACTTCAATATGAGTATCAATAAAAATTGCTTTGAAGAAACTTTATTTCCAAAATACATGTATGAGGGTTGCCACCTGATTTAAAAATTTAATTCAACTTGAATTAATGGAATTAGTTACTTTAGGTATTTATCAAAATACGGCGGCTAGATAAAAAAGGTTATAGTTTGAAAATATTTTGAGCAGGGTGACCACCTGTTTTCAAACTTAAATTTGATGTACACGATAGCTTAACGGAATTACTACAATATGGATAGCAATCAAAATAGCCTTGAAAGAACTTTATTTCTAAACTGCATGTAGGAGCGTTGCCACCCGTGTATATAATCAATTTCAACTTAATTTAAGAAAATTGAAAAATGTATCCCGACATGAGTGTCAGACTTGATTACAAAGGCTATTCTATTTCAATGTATGCAATAGGTAAATGAATTATTACTCTATGGATATCAATCAAAATGGCTTTTAAAAGCCATTCCTGCCGCGGTTTTTGAGTTATCTGTTTTTCCAGCAAATGACCGAGATGTATTTGCATTTATATGAAAACCAATAATTTAATTTGAATTATACAATGCACAGCGTGAATTTCATTTTCAAAAGATTTTCCAAAATTCCTGCAGGGTATCGTTAGCCTTTTATATTGGATTCTTATCAAAAACACACATTCGTACACACGTACACACATACATATATTAAATTAATGCCAGTGGCTATCTATGCATAAGATGTTCAAAATATTTTCTTGTATTTGTATTTTATTTGCATATTTCTTCGTTAATCTTATACAGTGTTTTCATTTTTTTTATTTGTTTTGGATTTTACTTCGTTCAGCAGCTCGTTCGCTTTTGTTTGTGTGTTTTTGAAGCAATATTGTAACGAGAGTTTTTAAGGCTTCACAGTATTATTGGAGCGTTCACAGCGATCACTGCTTAATCATAACAAAAGCTTGTACATTAATTGGGTTGTTCTTATTTAAGTAGTTAATATTTTTTATACAGAAAAAGACGAAAAGTGAAGATGCCAATTGTTCAAACTGGTGAGCAAAATATGTAGAAACACATTTTATATACATTACAATGTCGATACATTTTGCTGTTGTTTTATAAACTAATGGCGACAAAAATAAAACTTTAGTGAACGACTTTGTGTGAAAAACATATGGTCACATGATCTGTTGCAAATTGAAAAAACGTTGCGTCCATTATTTCGAAATCAAGTTTTCTAGTTAGTATAGTGTTTCAATGGTTATTTCTTGCATTTTGAGTGAGCATAATTAAAAAAAAAAAGTAAACTATTTTATTTTAACTGTGCAATTTGGAAGTGAATTTCTAGTATAACTTGGTTTCCCTGTGCTCGACTCAGAAAAATGTGCACAAAAGTAAAACGTATATCAAAAATACAGATGATTTGAACTGTATTAAACATCTGAGTTAAGATCCACTAGGTTAACTTATAACTCTACCGAAGCTATTTTTAAGAAACGAAACTTTGAACGTTTTCTTAACAGCGTTTGCCTCTCGAAAGGCGATGTCATAAAAACTTTCCCATAAAAACCATATGACGTCTGGGGTTGGCATAAAACAAAAGACGGTCGGTTAATAACTTTTAAAGTGGGCAGTGCCAAAAATTTAGTTATTTTATTACTTACGTCTAATGTAGGGTAAAAATCGTATCACATCCCATAAGAGATAATAGCTATTAAACTTATGGTTGGCTATATTAAAGCTCGTTAACATCTTCTTCCTTACATATTCTTCCTACAAACGCTTCAGATCTGAAACTTTGTTTTTCGTGCGTCAGTTATTTATGTATATACATTAGACTGCATCACTCCCCATACAAAAAAAAAAATCGGTACTGTTTTTCCATTGGAATTATAAAATCTATTATATTTTAAGACGTCCAACAAAAATATTACGGAAAAATATTAAGAATTAAGCGAGTTAGATCGATTTGAAAATACCTTCAAAAATTTAGTTTTTTATGAATAAAAATAGTTTCTTAAAGATGTTTTTTTCAAAAAATGCCCTCAAATGACAAAAGGGTTTAAGCTTAAAAAGTTACATAAAAATATTAAAAAAAAGGAATTTCAACGGAATCGTAATAATGCGATTTTTGATGCAGTTTTTTAACTTTTTTTAAAAATTGGTATAAGAAATACTTGAACTCTTCCGATTTAGACTTGAGAGGTATCATTGGAAAGCTATGGTCTATGTTGATAATAAACTCATTCAAAGGATGAACAAGAAAGGTAGGATAAACGAACATCATTCAAAGTTGCATTAAGATGTGTTGGTATTTGAAAAAAAAAAAATTGGGACACGAATGAATTTTTTTGCACATAAATAAAAAAAAGTTGGAAAATACCTTTGTATTGAGATCCCAAAAGTCTAAATCAGAATATTTTTGGCCCAGTTATTTAGGTTTTTCGTAAATCAATCTTCGAAAAGAGTAAAAAAAAAAACACCATCAAAAATCTCATTATTACGATTCCGTTGAAAAGATTTTAAAATATTTTTATGCAGATTTTTTAACGCTAAGCTGTTTTGTCATCTGCGGGGACTTTTTTCAAAAAGTTCTTTAAGAAACTATTTTTATACATATAAAACTCCATTTTCGGAGGTATTTTCAAATCGGTCCAGCTCGCTTAAGTTTTAATATTTTTCCGAAATATTTTGGTGGACGTCTTAAAATATAATAAATTTAGTAATCCCGGTGGAAAAAATACGTTAAAATAAATAAATACATTTTAGTTTACAAAAAAAAAAACATTTTTGCATAGCTAACCCACAAAATTTTTCGAGAAAATTTAAAAGATGCACATTTTCTTTTTAATTCTTTTTCTTGTTTCGCTAATCTCTTCTCACCTTTGCGAAGTTGTACCAGTTGTACATCCCGAGTGGGGAAGGGTTCATCTGCACTTGATCCTTTCATTACATTCGCGGGCGCCCTTTTTTTCCTTCTGATGAATGATATTTAACTTGGCAAATATCGAAGTTTGGTTTAGTTATAGTGGCTATAAAGAACTCACACGAAAATATAAGCCTTTTAGATACTATACCTCGTTTCCACCAAGAGCTTTACTGCAGTTAAGAGCTAAGGTAAGTGCAAATAACATTAAAATGGGGTGATCACTAAAGTTTATTTCTTACTATTTGTTTTCGATTGCTTGTATCTACTCACTTAATATGAGCAATTACCACCTTCAAGTTCTAATCTCCTCTTTTCAATAGACATAAACTGCAGTTAAGGCTTGGCGGAAATAAACTATTAGCGGAATTGTTTTTCAAATGGAGAATTTTGTGGAAAATCTGCTTAAACCAGAGAGTTGTTCTCAAAGCGGCCATCGTGTTCCACATTAAATGAAGCAAGGTGCTCAACTGTTTCTTTTTCAACTTATGCAGTAGTCGTTGCAGGCAATACAATACTTTTAATGCGTAGGAACCAAAACCTCAATGTCAACTAAGAGCTACGTCAGTCTAGCCACGTCCGGCCTTGGTTTCGCTTACAGTGTCGATATATGTACGCCAATCAATGTCCGATTACTAATTGGAGGCAAATTATCCTAAGCAAATAAAACTCAACGGTGATCTCAGCTCCAGGTATATTGCAATGATCAGGAACACAAATTAGTTCTATATAAAAACTGGGTGCAGACGCTATTAAATAGAGCTGCATATGTTTTTATCTGGCTGTAAAGGGTGGCAGGGCCAAAAATTGCAGTCCCGAGTATCTGAGGAGTTGGCGACGGTTTTTTCCTTAAAGAGTTACGTAAGTGCTCTCACAGGTGAAACTTTGGCAATAAAAACCAATTCTGCCTGAAAAACACCCGCGCGCTTTCTTGGGCCGTTGGCATAAAAGTGCTGGCAGAAATAACGGATATTGTATCCTAATTTGAAAGGAAGAATGACATAACACCCCTTGTTAGCAAACGCTGCCCTTTGCATTCTTCCTAATTTTATATTAGTTACATTTGTTATCTTCGCTTCGTAGTGATTTCAACCATAGGAAAATAATAACCGGATTTGTCTCCGAAAAGTGGATTTTTTAACTGTCTTAGATATTTGCTTTCTAATTAATCTGAGAATATAACCTGGCCTCCAGGAGTCAGAAATTAACTCCTATATTTGCGAAGAACATTGAGAGCATCTTTTACATATACATACATGCGCATATGTTTCTCATTTATTATTGACCGACTTCAAAAAAGGAGGATTTGTGGATCACGTGAACCGTTTTCCATAATTCTTTTTTCTTCTTCCATACTACTTACATTGGGATCCGATCATTGCATCATAATGAAACTACCGGTACATCTAAATTTTTAAATGAACCTTAAAGGTGGTTGTGTTTTTGTTTTTGTTTAAAAATTACTTTCCTTCTTATTTTCTTTTAGTACTCGGTGCCATTGAACCAAATCTGTTGGGCCGTACTCTCACCCACGAGCATCTGGCATTGGATTTTGAGGGATTCTACTGTGAACCACCTGAGGAATTCAAATCGTATTTAAACAAGAAAATTAGCCTTGAAACGATCGGCTACGTACGTCAATATCCCTACTCGTCGCATGAAAATGTTCACTTTTATGGCGAAGAGGTTAGCGAAGCGGTCAAGAAAGATGTGGCGCTATATAAGAAATTAGGTGGCGGTTCAATAGTGGAAAATAGTTCACATGGACTAAAACGCAATTTAGAACATTTTGTCGATGTGGCAAAAAGCACTGGAGTTCACATAATCGCTGGCACTGGCCATTATGTACACAATTTGCAGGAGAAGGACCATTTGAGTATGTCCGTTGAGCAAATGACCGATTTGTATTCAAGAGAAATCATCACTGGTGTTGAAGTGGAAGGTGTCGGCATGGTGAAATGTGGTTACATTGGTGAAGTGGGTAGTGTCTATCCGCTACATGGTGAGTGCGGTGGGTTTAATGAGAAAACAAATTTGTCTATTTCGCAGTGTTTACACTTTAAGATTTTGAAAAGCATGCAATACGCGCAACCGGTGAAATACAAGAAGTACTCGGTTGCGGTGTTTCATTTCATCCTGGACGTGATGCAGAGGCGCCATTCGAGATAATGCGTCTGTACTTGGAAGCTGGTGGACGCGCTGACAAAGCCATTATGTCGCATGTGGATCGTGAGTTAGAAATGAACAGAATGAGGATAATAATTTTAAAACACAACATTATTGTTAATATTTAGGCACCCTTCTCGATGTCGATCAATTGCTTGAGTTCTCTAAATTAGGCAGCTATATTCAATACGATCTCTTTGGTGCCGAGTGTTCATTCTATCAACTTAATCCTGTCGTTGATATGCCATCGGATGGTCAGCGTATTTCTAATGTTTTGAAATTGTTAGAGGAAGGTTTAGCGAACAGAATATTATTGTCTCATGACATACATACCAGACACCGATTGGTAAGAAATTTATGAATGAGCTTTTAATGAGATGATATGTATGTAGATAATTAAACTTTTGTTTTAGACTTCGTATGGCGGTCATGGCTATCATCATGTGTATATGAATGTTTTGCCACGTCTGTTCGCAAAAGGTGTTTCTGTTGAGGATGTGGAGCAGATAACTGTAACAAACCCCGCAAATTGGCTGCAATTCAACATCTAATCGTGATGTTTATGGGCTTATTTTTAACTATACGTTTCAAAGATTTCTTCGCTTTAATAATTATATATATTCTACGATGGTTTCAAAAAGTGTTGTTACAAATTATTATTATAAAGTTTGGCCTGAAGTTTATTTAAATTAAATACAAGTAGTATTTCTTAAATAGATTCAAAGCATGACGTTCACGTGCGACTATCATTACAGCTATATGAAGGATACATTTATGAAGGGTTTAAATACTTACTTCACCTGACGAAGAATTCTTAGCGGCGCACAATGTTTTATTTCCATGTTCTAGAAATATTAAATTTCGAAACATCAAAATTTTTTTTTAGAAATGCTTGACAAAGTCGAAGCAATAATGGCGGATTCATCGTTCTGGTTCTGACCTAAAGTTGAAGTTGAGTTAACAACTGAAAAGCGTTCAGAACATATCTCATTTGCTCTCCCAGAGAGAGAAACACAACGTCAGCCACATGGAAAAAAGCTCTGAACTAGAACGATGAATAAATCTTACCAACTAGAAAATTTGAATTAAAGTGTATGGCGGCATAAAATTTCATTTGGAAGAATATCAAGCGCGTTAGTCTTTGAACTTCGGACTAAAACCTGTGGAACTGTCAAACTACAATTTTACTCTCTCAAATGAGAGTAAAAGGAGAACAGATGCAGAAGTGCATAGGAACGCAAAAAGCACTATTTCCTGTAAAAACGTCAGTCGGTTTGTTTACATGTCATTTGTACAACACTGATTTAGCTGAAATATCACTAAATAATTATTAAAATCTATACATATTCAAACATTTCGTTGTTTACTTCCATTTTTTTACAAAAATAAGGTACTTTGCTTTCACCGCTGTTTGTTTTTGCTTGCACATGGAAATCAGCTGATCGTTTGACACTTTTCATGAACTTACAGGAAAAAAAACTCCGGACTAAATCCTGTAATTTCTGACTAGGAACAGTTGCTCAGTTACTCTCTCAAATGTATTCCCACTTACAGGTTTTATGTCAATAGGAACGACTTCCTGTAAGTTCTGACTAAATCCTGTAAACCGGACTGCTATTGGAACAGACTAAATATTTAAGACTAACAGCCGTATTCTAACAAAGTCACAAACTTTAGCTCATCACTGCTGTGATTTCTACCGCGCCTCAAAGCTTGCCGCTGCAAAAATATGCCGCTACAATTCAATTTTTTAAATTTTTGTGTATTTTTCTAGCACTCAAAATCGAATTTTTTGTGACACATTTCTCGGCGCACTTGAAATCACAACAGTGATTAGCTAAGTTTTGTGACTCTGTTAGAATAGAGGGTTAAATTTCAATGTTTAAATTGCTGGTGTTTTGTGATTTCTGCAAAAATTGTTAAAATGTTATTTCAGAATTTCTTTAAAAAACTCTCAGAATTTTAAATCGGTTCGAAACCCCCTATCTTAAATCAAAATATATTGAAAATGTGCTGAAATAGGGCGTGTTGAATTCTGAAATAGGGCGTACTTGAAAAGCTTTCTGAGATGGGGCGTTTTCGAACTGGTCGCCGAGATAGGTCGATCTTCCACTCAGGTGTCGATGTGTTCTTTTTAATCAATATACAATTTTGGGATCTTTGTAAACTTTGACTGAATATTTCATATTTTTCATGTTTAAGTAAAGCGTTATTAACTTAAATTTAATTTTAGAAAATTAGCCCGCATTCACGTTGTTCGATAAAACTTGTATCTCAGTTTATTAACTCTTAAACTTCACACACCATCACAACTTCATGCATCGGAAACATCGATGTTTGCTATTCGATGCATCGAATAAAACCGATGTTTTGGACCTTCCGATATATATCGATGTATTTTTTTCGATGCATCGACTTTTGTGTGCATTGTACACTGTACATATTAAAATTATTATGTAAGCTTCCAAATTCTTTGCTCTAGTAACTTTTCTAAATGTGGAAATTTCACTATTTATGCACAATTAGAATATACAATCTATTAATAATATGCAAAATGTATGAGTTATTTGCACTAATAAATTTCTAATTTAATAGTAGAAACGTTTAGTGCCAAATGATATTAATGGATTTGATATTGACACTCTAAAACCCTTTAGAAATTTGGCAGATTTTAAACAGCAATTGCCAAAATTGTTTCACATAGCTTATAAACATAGTGCAATAATATAAAGTGAGGTACTCTTATATCAAAGAAATATTTGAATTTGTTATTTTCGCTTTTTTCAATTCTGGAATTGACCTTTGGTTGCACACCTCTGCCCGATTTTCGGCGGCAAGAATTTCTTTAAATTTTTTTTTTTAATTTTGTTATCAAATCAAAAAACTTCATAAGTTATTACTCAAAAGGGTGTCACATGAAAGAAAAAATTATGATAATAAATTACCAAAGTGTACCGAAATGGAATCTCTTTGCTAGCTGGCACACTTTATATTATTTTACTAGGCTTATTGTCGCCACTTCAGCACCTTCCGAAAACTTTTTTCGAAAGCTTCTCAAACGACAAAAAAAAACTGGAATTGGAACTATTTAAATCAATAAATACATTTCACCGTAAGTTAATACTTAAACATTTATCGACGCTCCGATTGTCTCACTTTATTGTTGTATATTTTTAATTGAAAGAAACTGTTGATATTTTCATTCGATGCATCGCATATATCAATGCTTTTATACGAAATATCGATATGAATCGATGCTATGTTTCGATGCATCAAATGGAAAAAAACATCGATGTATTTTTTTGACTTGCATCCCTAATAAAAAGCGAAGGCAAAGTTTTTTGAGGCTATTCCGAATATACATTTTTTTGTAGCTCGTTAAATATCTCCGGGTTATATGTGGGGTAAGCGTGACAGTGCCTCTAAATGACCAATTTTTTGTACAAAATTTCACTAATCCATGCTCAATAGTTTTCGAATTGCAGAAAAACAAGCAGCTACATACGTATGTGGACCAATCGTACACTGTGCGGCGTAATCACAGGACACTGAATTTGCACCAAGGCTCGAACAACGTTGAATACCGACGAATTCCCTCTTAAGCAATTGGTCCAACAGGTTAAAGCCTTGATTATTCGTGCTGTTCGCTTTGTTAAAGGAACTCCGGTTAGAGGAATGTGATTCATTTTTCAAACGGGAAAATCTAGCTTTCTAGTATGTCCCAGTTCTGCCGAGAGTACTACTATAGGATTTTTTTTACTACTTTTTTGTCATTTGTGTGGACGGTAGCCAACCACCATAAATCAGTAATTATATTGACTTCACAGCTTTGAACTGGCGACATTCGTGCCACATCCGAGAGGATGTGTGAGTGTGGCTTCTTCGGAAACAAATATTCTATGTAAGTAAAACATAATTTAAGCTGAACTTTGAGAAATGTATTATAATTTGCGCACGGTTTTATATTAGGTACGTAACAGCGCGGTAAGATGCCGCATAAATTTGCGACTGGCGATTTTATCCACTGGTGCACTGCTACTTACCACCACTAAAAATAAGCAGGTACATATTAACAAAAAAGTAGGTAGTGAAGTTATACATACATAAGTACGCATTTATTTTAGAAACTGTGTTTGTATGTATATCATCGTCAGCAAACTAAACCAGCAATTATCTAAATTCCCCATGGAAGTATATTCAACAAGTAATGGCCAACATAGTACCATGTAGAAAACAGCGTCCTCTCTAAACGTGATGCATCGTTTGTATTTGGCAAGCATGTAAATATTCGAGTGTTTCTTTTATTAGAGTATAAGTATAATTACAATTATACATATGTGCACACAGATGAGTACGAATGTATAATACATATAACTTAGTTAAAATTAAACTAAAAAGAAATACTGAAAAAGACATTGCAATTGTTATGACAGACGAGGTACTAACTATTGTCCAAATGTACATACACAAGCGAAATATATGTAAATGTACACATGTATTAGCTTTAATTTTGTTCTAACTACAATTTACACTGTTTTCATAGAAATATGTAGTAGTTTCACTCAGTTTAAACGCCCGATCTGGCTGGTTTAAGCTAAGCTCAGCCAATCAAAGGTCAGCCAGCTGTTCACTTTAAACTCAGTCTACTTAATCTAAGTTAAGAGTGGCATTGAAAAACTGGCCCTTGTGTGAAAATATGTACACATGCATACTTGTGTTCAATTTAAAAGCAGTGGTTCATTTTGAGAAATTTTGGCAATTTATTTTCATAGTATTTCCTTGATTTTTTTTTATTAAAATACAGTCTAAACTGACTCTACTTTACTACAGACTCTAGATTACTTTCATGGTCCATCATACTGCAGCTAGGTACAGATAAACCTTCACTTAAGTGATTTACCCAGGTGTAGAGCGGACCATCTGCGCCTTTGAAGGATGTACTAGAGATATCGTCTCGCAATCGGTGGCATATATAACCAGATAAATTCTCTGGATCATCTAACTCCACATGTTCGAACTCTACCGGCTCTATATCGATCGGCCATTCTTCAGGTACAAATCTTTTCAGAAGGAAACCTGTAGATATAGAAATCAATATTTTTACTATATTAAAAAGATTAAACTCAATTTTTGTTACCTGTAAGAGGTGGCTGCGATATTTCCAAGTCTGATGTATCATGTACTTCCTCATTTGCCGAATTCGATATCTCGCCTTCATGGTGTCCAAGTAAATATCCTCTAAGGCGATATTTGAACTCTTGCTGGTCCGGATGATCATGTAAGCCGCCTTTTGCCCGAATGACTTCAAAGAAATTTTCGATCGCAACCTGGTTCAAACGATACGTTAAAATGTACTTCACATTGAACCGATTTTTAGCGATTTCATACAACGTTTTCAGCGCATTGGACGACTGTATGATACCTGCAAATAAATAGGCATACGTATACTTTATATATTTGTACAGCTCGCAGCAAACCGATAGCACCTCAGTATTTTGAACAGTTTTGACAATTTATCTTTTGTTTGTTTAATGTTCACTATTTTTATATAAAAGTATTGCTCTGTATCTAACAAAATACCATATACATAAACCCAAATTTCAGATTTGTACAAAAATTATAAAAATTCCACAAACTTTTCGTCTTAATATTCCAAACATTTTAATTAATAGAGTAATTTTTGGTATGCAATTGTATAGCTTATTTAATTTTACTGTAAGAGAGTACAACTTCGATGATGATTTTTTATATTGATTTTTATAATTTATAAACTTCAAAATTGCACTTTATTATACTAGATTTTGATGAAAAGTTTGTGCAATTTTTTACATTTTTTGCCTACTTTGAAATTTGGACTTAATGGTTTTAGTTAGATAACCATATAAGTATATATATGTTTAAATTTTAATAAAAAATTAATGAACCTTAAAAAAATCAAAATAATAGTAAAAAAAATTTTAGCGTGCTATATTTTATCGTGGCTCTATATACACTTCAAGTATGCGTGTAAGCACGGTTGCCACTCACTGTTGGTTGTTTCCAGCCAAACTTGGTTGTTTTTCTTTTATTGTTTCAATTTGGTTGTTTTGTAGTTTTTTCTCTGGTTTGGTGTGTTTTTTTAAATTAGAAATTAGCAAATTTTTTCTTTACAAAAAGAATTATTGTATATTGAATGCCAAAAATGAATAAATGAATTTTTCGAATTCCTATTTTTAATGTAGAATGTTTTATATGCACATATAAGAGGTAAATAGGGGTTGAACGCACAAGTGTTTCAATAATTTTTGTTTTCCGAAATAGCAGCTATAACTTCTACCAAAATGTAAATTAATATGGTTTTCCCACTAAATTTTCACAAAAAATACGGCTTCAAGCTCAATAAAACTGTTGAATTTTTGTTTTTTATTATACATTTTGTTTTTCGTATTAGTTAAATGGATAACAAATTTGGTTGTTTTTTTCAGCTTAGTTGTTTTTTCTTCAGAGTTTGGTTGGTTATTTTTTTTTAACAAGTGGCAACCGTGCGGGTAAGAAGACTACATAGTTTACCTCTTTGAAATGGTAGCAGTCTGTGTTTTCCTATTACTCTCATACTTTTCATCATTTCCGTCATGCCATCTAATATTTTAACTTGTTCATCAATCGCTAGACCGTAGGCGCGACAGCGCGTTCTTTCACCAGCATGTGGTTTTCTGACGTTCATCACATCAAACCAATCGCTAGTCTAAAATTTAAATATTTGAAATTTAACTATAATTACATATAAGTATGTACTTATATAGATGTCTGTATGTAAATCTCACCAATTTAAATAATTTGAAGCACTCTTTCCAATTGTGGCCACTCAAATGTCCCAAACCTGCTGCTCTCGTTATTGCCTGCGCTACTGTGTGTGAAAATAATTTCGCTGCTGTTTTCACTTTTTGTCTTTGCAGTCCGGATACATTTAAATGGTTTGCTGAAATTTTATGAGCTATTGTCAAATCTTTAGAGGTGATAGACAATAACTCTAAAATTATTTCTTTCTTCACTGATTTGCCATTTATCACAAATCCTTGATCAAGGAAATGATTACGCAGTAATTTAAGCATATGGCGAACGTCTGCAAATGTGACAACTATCTGCTCATCAAAAACAAACCTGTAAAAGTGCAATATGTTACAAAAAGTAAAATAAACCGCAAATTAAGTAAACTTACCACGGCTTGTCTTCATGCACTCCCAGCCCATTAAGAAGAGACCCGTTTGTGCCGCCAAGATCGCACACAACCGCTACAACATTGTACCCGCAATCTTTAGTACTTTTTAATATATTGAAAAGAACGTCCTTTGTCATTTTGAAATCAAAGTCGTAAAACACTGGCTGTTTCCATTTAGATACCAGCCCTAATGAAGAAAGTAGATTTATTAAATGCTTATTTCGTAAACTTAAATTTCATTAAATGTTGTTTATAATATATATTTACCTCTGAGCATTGCTACTTGCACATAGTTGCCAGGTCCTTGCAGTGAGTCCGACGAGGTATCATAACAGTAATTTTGCCTAATTTTCATCTCGTCGAAACTCAAAACACATATCTTTTGAATCGTGTCCATTTGTGTAGAAGCTTTTAATAATTTAAAAACTGGTTTTATTAAACCTCTTGAAAGGTCGATATTTTGTGCCCATTTCTGTAGCGTTCGAACTCCAGGTAGCGGAAAACCTTTTATGTACATTAATTTGTACGCTTTGGGACTAGTTGCGTACAATGTTATGGATTGTGCTACGTCTTCCTGAGTCCAGGTAGGTTTATTAATATCATACTTAAATTTCGCAACCTGACCCTTCGTGAAGATTCCTTGTAATTTTCTCTCCATATTTTTACAAACCTTTTCGCACTCCTCCAAGCGCTTTTGCATCTGATCTAACTCGTAGGCGTGTTTTTTCTTTTGCTTTTCGTACTCGTGCTGGAGTACCGCCAGTTTTTTGGATTGCTTTTTGTTTTCCTTTCGCAGGTTCATATTTTCTCGCTTTAATGCTTCTCTATATGTGTGTAATAAAAAGAAAAATGTTAACTCAATAAGCCAAAATTTTTAGTGTTGTATTGCTTTTAATTACTTACAGTTTTGGTTCCATTTCTTCTACTTCCCGCGTCGTGGAAATATCGCAAACATTTTCTTCCATAAGGCTATTTTCCTTACTATTCAGACTTTCATCAGTTATATCTACATCAGCTATATCGCAAATATTTTCTTCCATAAGGCTATTTTCCTTACTTTTCAGACTTTCATCAGTAACATCTACGTTAACAGTGTCACTCACAACGGCTATAAAAACTTAGCTACAGTATAATTCAAAACTTGATATAAATGCAAATTGCTACTTTCAGTGACAGCGGCAGTCTCACTCTGTTGAAGTAACTCGCTGACGATTCTTTTGTTTTCTCTGTGCTGAGCTCTTTCCGTACGCTGGGAATCCACCTCATTAGCTGCGTAAATGGTGGGCACTGCACCCCGCTTTAAACGACGATTTTTGGCAAAACCTAAGGCATTTGCAAAAACAATATTAAATGCAACTTAATATAAAAATACACAATATTTTACCCAATTCGAACTGTCTATTATTTTCAATATCTTCTCTGGCAAAGTGCTTCATGCACACATAGCTCGATTTGGTATTTAATTTACGTCCTCGCCGGCAGAACTGCTCCCACTTTTTCGCCAGTTTTGCGTCCGTGGGAAACAAAAAAAAACTTATATCGCAGGCTTTCCTTTTGTTTTCACTTTTACAATTTGCCACTACACACTTCATTTTGCTTCGTAATGTTTCAATAATTGTATAAAACTACGCAAAAATATTAACGCATGAATAGTTAAATTGTTATTTGGTCATTCCTGTAATCTCTACTTCTTTCGATCGTGATAGTTAAGTATGGATATTTTACATCAAACGCATTTGGTTTTGGCTTAGTTTTGCTTTGTTTGATTTACAACCATTTAAATTTAGTGCGACATCTCTTGGCAAAAAAACGAATTATAATTTGTTCGAAAATATTCATCTGAACCACCCTGTTAAACTGTTAATTTTGCAATGTCAGTAATAGGTTTGTTCCTTGATAAAAATATAGCAAGGTAGAACCGTTCTCTCAATTTGTCGGCCATGATTTTTTTTTGAAGTTTGCCAACATTTTAAAATCATATAAAAGTGAAAATAAAAAATTGAAATTGTTCGAAATTGTTGTTGCTTGAGATTGAAAATGAAAACGTGTGTGTGAGTTTGTAAGTAAAATTAAAAATTAAATTGTTTGAAAACGTCAAGAATTTTAAAAGTGGCTCTCAGCGGTTCTACCTTACTATATTTTTATTATGGTTTGTTCTACATGCTTTCCGGGCTGTTTCGGTAATTAGAGCGTAAAAATTAGTTACTCTCTCACAAGCGTCAAAAATGTGTCAACCCGCGCCAAAAGTGCTCAGAGCGCGAGGAACGCAAAAATCCACTTTTCGTGTCCGGAATCAACAATTCAGTTCTAAACAATGATTTTATGTGTAATTACCTTTTATGGCTGTATAGCTAATAAAATTAACAAATGCCTACATACATTTCTGAAACTTTTTTTGTATTTTACAAAATTGCTATCGGATGTAAACAAATAATAGCTTTCATTCCAAATTGACTTCTTGCACAGGCTTGCGCACGAAGAAGACGACATTTACGATCCATAAGTGGAAGGTATTCGCTCTCTCTTTTTCTAGAGTGAGGAACACTTTCTCTTTCGAGTGGAACACACCTAATTGTGTTTACAAAATATTGTTTATGTACCAGAGGATTCGCTGAAAACTTTATGCTTTATATTTTGTAACCAAACATCTTTTAAATGTTGGAAAGTGAGTATGATTTGCTAATTTTTATTGTTTAGTCATCTAAATTCATATTTGACAATGTTTTTAGTGAACAATGCCGAAAATCAAAGCAACTGTATCTGAAAACGTAAATAAATATGTGGCTGAGTATCCGCGCGTGTTTCAAACCGATGGATATGTGCTATTTTGTAAAATTTGCAATAAGATAGTGAGCAGCGAAAAGAAATATCAAGTTGACCAGCATTTGAGAACTCTGAAACATAGGGAATTATATGAGCGGCGCACTTTGATTGCTGCTTCTACAGAAGCAGGGTTTAACGAATTTTCTATGGATTTATGCGAAGCTTTTATTTCGGCAGATATACCTTTGTCTAAGCTTAGCAATCCACAGCTAAGCACCTTCTTAAGAACATATACTAATGAGCACATTCCACAAGAATCAACAGAGCTCAAAACTTATATCGATCAAATATATATTCGCTTATTAAATGAAATGAAGAACACACTAAAACACCATTTTCTATGGGTTTCCATAGATGAGACTACCGATATCCAGGGCAGATATGTAGCGAATGTAATTGTGGGAATTCTACATGAGAATGAAGATATACGCAACAAAAAATTTTTACTCAACGTTGTAGAATTGGATAAAATTAACTATGCGACAATATCTCGCGCCTTCAATGACTCTATTACCTTGCTCGGTGAGGATTTCGACAAAAACAAAGTTCTTCTATTTTTAACCAACTCAGCGTCCTACATGGCGAAGGCGGCAAGAGGATTAAAAATATTTTATCCGAAGTTGTTGCATGTTACTTGTTTGGCTCTTTCTATTCACCGACTAGCTGAAGAAATTAGCAGTCATTTTAATGAACTAAATCTTCTTATATCAAATGGAGGAAAACTATTCTTAAAAGCGCCTTCGCGTGTACAGGTTTTTAATGCCAAATTTCCTGGGATTCCGCTTCCTCTAGAGCCAATAACAACAAGATGGGGAACATGGCTTGATGCAGTCAAATATTATGCCCAGAACCTTGAAGAATTCGCTGCAGTAGTGGCAGAGCTTGACGATTCCGATTCGAAATCGATTAAAAACATAAAACAACTTCTAAGCTTGCCTTCTATTAAATCTCAATTGTTTTTTGTACATAACAATTATGGATTTTTATGTGAAGTAATCAAAAAATTAGAAGGAAGTAATTCTTTGAGAGATGCAGTTGATTTAGTAGATACCTCTATAAAAAGAATATATGATGTAAAGGGTACAATTGGGCAAGAAATTATGAAAACATCAAATTTAATATTTCAAAAAAATAAAGGTTTCCTTGAAATAAGAACACTTGCTCGCATTTTGGAGTTTAATGAAAGTTGTTCTAAAACCAAATACAATTTAAATGAATTGTCTGCTTTTAAGTATGCTCCCTTAACCTTCTTTGATGTAGAGCGGTCATTTTCTTCGTACGAAAACTACCTAGGACCCAATGGGGAAAGTTTCGTATTTGAAAACTTTAAAAAAATTTTCTTTGTTTACGCCAATAAGGCAATAAATAAATAAAGTAAGATTGGTTCATGTACTATACACATATGTATGTATGTATGTATATACGTGTATGTGTATATACCTTTGTACTTAACTCTTGATTTAATTAAGTAATTATATATACATATACAGACCTGATATGAAAAAAAGACTTAACAAACATCGTCGCTGGAATGCAAAAGGTTGCAACTAATAAAAAAATTAAAATACAACTCCCCATACCGTTTTATGCACGATGTTTGTTACGGTTTTTTGTATTTCAGGTGACGATATATTGTCCCCTTTATGCCAGAAGCATGAATGGGTACAAAAAAAATGGTGGGAAATCAAGTTTGAAAGTTTTTTATGACACTTAACTGTACATTCATGTAATTCATATTCACCCTCATTGCGAAAGTCGTGTCGAACTTCGTTTTTTTCTTCAGTGTAAATTTGGATACCTTTTCCCATAAGTATTCGTAAGTTGAAGGACATGTTTTTATTTATGTAAGAGCTATTATAACATTTTTAACAGTTGGCTTCTCATCCTCCAAGCAAGAAATTTTCCTTTATTCTTGTTACTTTGAAAAATTAATTTTTTAGCTACATTTAAGAACACCAAGTAGTTGGCGAATTTTGGAAAGTTTTCCGACCTGTAGTAGTTAACTGTAAAGCGAAAAAATCACTTTTTGCATCCCGAACAACCCTTCTCTTAGCATTCAAAGGAAATTGACCACCATGCTGATGACTAATTTTCTACAATAACTTGACTGTACTTAAAACATCTCATAACTTCTAAATTTTCAGTTATATGTCGTTAAGTGAGTATTCAAACAAGCCGAAAATAGAAATTTTTCTTGAAGGCGGAATTTACAGACAAAGAAGTTTTGAGCATTTTTTTTAATTTCATAGATAGCTCCCAATCCACCAGTTTGATTGTAAAACATTGTAACCAGAAAATAGCACCTTACTAAACTAAATGCAACAGGTCAAAATTACATGTACATATTATCTGTGGGAATCTAATCGTAGTAATAAACATCGAACATGCGGAAACTTTGGCCCGTGTTTGGAACTCTACAAACTAATTTGAAATTTGTTCTACGCCACACATTTAAAAGTAAACGGGCAGTGTTTAATTTAATTAACCAGGTGTGTACATTTGCATTCATGAAGAGGGGCAACTGGTTACCTATCTTAATATGCGCAAATTTAAACAATTTTTTTTTAGAAAGTATAACATAGAACATCCAAAGGTTAATCAGGTCAACCCATTAACTCAAAATTGTTAAAGTTGCACATTCATGCATTCTTTTTAAAATATGTGCAGTATTTATTTTTATGCAATATTTAATTTTATAGAAATAGAGGTTTGAAATAGAGCTCTCGATTTTGTTCGCACATTTTCAAACAGCCCGGGTATATGAGCAGCGAGTACTCGCACACTTGTTCAATGCTCATTACTCGAAAATTTCCGAGCATGAGCTCGAGCAATTCGAGTTTTTTCGAGTAATTTGAGCAATGTTTTTTTTATTATATTGACATTTTTGGTAGCAACTTTTTAAATTTTTCAAATCATTGATATTTAATGCAAAGATTGTTACATTGGTATTTAATAATATAATTTATTTAACATGGATTAGAAAGCAACTGCTGACAGATACAATTTACAAATTTTCTTTTATTTATGAAATTGTTCAAAAATCGAAAATGTTGAACAAACATTTGAGCAGTTGAGCAATGAACGAGTTTCGAGCGAGTATCGAGCTACTCGCATTGCTCGATACCCGGGTATCTAGAGCTCTAGTATGAAACATTATTCGATTTTATATTCCAAAAGTATTTTGAAAATAAAAGAAAAAAATGAAAAATCTCAATTCTGCATATTGCAAAGTTATGGCCGTTTAAAAAAAGGAAGTTTTTTTTTTTAAATTCAATATTTCAAAAACGGCTGGAAAAAAAATTGAGAAAACTAGGTAAGTACTATAACATAAAAACTTGGATATGAAACAGCCGAATGCTGTTCGAATCGAGCAGGGATGCGCCATATGCAATTTTTTTAATTAAACTGAATTAGATTTATTAACCGGTGGCAACCCTACTGAATTTAAGTTAAGAAACAAAGCTTTTCAAACCCATTTGGATTGACAGCCATGTTGTTATAATTGATTTATTTAGTTTAAATGTGTTGAATATAATTTTTTAAAAAGGTAGCTATACTTTTCCAAAAAGTAAAACCTTTAAGCTTTGCTAAAAATTTTTATTGAATTGAATTATCTTTATTTATGTAAGCATTTATGTATAGGCGAACATATTTATATAATTTCTTAAATAAAACTAAATTAAATGTATGTAAAAATAAATAAAACTAAATTAAATGTAGTAATTATGCAATAAACTTAAGAGATAATATTAACAGCATTGCGAATATAAGTTTGCATACCGACACAAAAAAAGATAAAAACACAAAATTGTGATCTTATACTAATACATGTATGTATGTATCTATACAAACGCCGTAAATTTAAAACATTTTGTGAAAACTAGTGTCCTTAATGCTAAGTATTTTGATTAAATTCGTATTATTAAAAGAAAACGCACTTTTTTTTTTTAAATGTAATTAAAGATAATATTTCGTCTCCAGTTCTTTTTATAGTTTATTCTAATTTTTTTTTAATACCGAAACTTTGCTTTTTGCGCCTAATTGTTATATGGGAGGGAGAAAGGTAAAAGGGACCTACAGGTCGTAAAAATAGCCTTTTTAGTATTTTACTTCAAAGATGGCGCACTGCCGGAAAAAATTACAATTCAAAGTCGCTTTTCTCGGAAATTAATTTTCGAACAAACATTTCTAAGGTTTGTGTCGTTTGGCTGTTAGCTTTTGCCGCAAAATTATGGACTGTGCAAATATCATTTTTTGATTCGAAACTTCTCAAGTGGAGGATACAAAGTAATATTGTAACTTGATAAAAAAACAACAATAATAATTATGTATAATAAAATATGGATATTTATACATATGAATGAGCATTGGCAATAAGACGGCATTACGAAAGTAACGACTTAGCCATAAATTGAGCAATGTAAGGAATATAACTTATTTTACAAAAAACACAATCATTATTATATGTACATAAATATCATTAAAATATAATTCAAATCAGTTTTTAATAGTAAGATACGTAATATAAAATTTTTAAACATACATATGTATGTACACACGTATATATGTGTGTAGTTTTAAACTAGTTTTGAAAAGTATATTTTCAAAATTTCCAAACGAAAAGTTTAAGATTCAACTGCATTTCTCAATCGACGAGAAAGCATTATTATCTGTTTAGCACTTAAAAATAGTAAGTAGTACATACTTACTTAATAAACTCAATGATCTACATTATAAGTTTATTTTCTTCTTAAATACATACACATGTAAACAAAAAACACAAGTATATTGGAAATCAACTTAAGTGCTTGTGTTTACATTCGCTTTACATTTTGATTTCATTATTTTGGCACATCGAGGATACAGTACAGTACATTATTATGCATTGGGAATTAATTTTCCAACTTTCATCAATTAAAAAAACCGAAAATTAATTTACAAAATTGCAATGAACTACATATACACAAAACACACGCATATAAATATAGATATTTGCATTCCCGTTATTTACACAGCTGTAAGCCAATAGAATTGCTAATGCAGTTACTTAGTGATTTGAGTAGCAGAGTATTCGAAAGTGGCTACAACTTAAAACATACATACATATTTAATAATAAGAATGATTGGCGCTTGCACATATGTATGTTAGTGTTTGGCCGAGCTTCTGCCCCGATTTGTGATGTTGTCACACAGAGCGGAGGGTGTATGTAAACAAGAAAAATACGAATAGAAGTAATGGGCTTAAACTATGTAGATATATGCATGTACAAATGTGTAAAGGTATGCATTACAAAATATATAATTTACTTTTTTCGATTTATTTAATATTTGTGTATGATTTTATGCAACATACTATTTTACAGTGATTCAAACAAATGACCACGTGTTGCATTTTTTTTAAGTATTCGTAATGTTTTTCGAGCTATATTTTGTTTGTTATTTTTATATGAAAATAGTGTTCAAGCTTTAACGTAACATATAGATCACAGTTTCAAACTTTATACAAAATTTAGGAAAATTCAAAAAAATTTCATCAAAGTTTAAATTTTTTATTCTGAATCTTTAGAAAATTTTTGGGTATGCAGTTTTATGAATTTTGTTGCTAACGGTCTCCCGAACTTTATGTCACAAGAAATTCATGCTTATTTATATGGAAAAAGCTCAAAAATGTTCTAAAGATTCAGAATGAAAAGTGGAAAATTTGTTGAATTTTCCTAAATTTCGCATAAAGTGTGAAACTGTGATTTATATGTTTTTGGTTAAAGCAGTATTAACAGAAAAATAACAAAAAAATTTGGCTCGAAAAAGATTACGAATATGTATAAAAAAAAAACAATTAACATGTGGCCATTTGTTTGAAGTACTGTATCTTATCTATATACTGTAAATATCTATAAATTAACTTAACCTATGAGTAAACATACATACGTATATCACCTTAATTGTATGTATATATGAATTTTAGCACATTTAAATTTAATATTTTGCTTACAATTTGTAAAATGTATGTATGTATGTATGTCGTATGAAAATATTTAGTTTTTTATTTGCTTACATTTTCTTTTTAAAATTTATTGTTTCTTTTGTTGCTAATGACTATTATCTAAACGTATTATCAGTGCATCAACGACATTATAGATCTCATCGAAATGTGGCCGTGCATCTGCTTCGGCGGACCAGCACTTCAACATGAGGCGATACATTTCGGGCGGTGTGTTTTCAGGCGCTGGCATGCGATAACCTGGAAAAGAAGAAATATTTATTAAATGTAGAATATATGTACACATAAATAGAGTATATACATGTACATTAGGCGGGCGTTATTTTTCAGCTTTGACCCACAAAGCAAAACTCCCCTGCGAAAAAATTGTTAGAGCTCATGAGCCCTAATATCAGGCAAAAAAATCTCAATGACTTCCAACCCTGAAGAGATATGAAAATGGCGGTGCTATATGCATGTAAGATCAACGTATAAGCTCTTTTTACTAATTTATAGGCTCTTGACGCAAGGCTTTCCGTTATACGATTTTGAAAAATTTTTGCAAATCACATTTTTATTACCCAATTAATCTATCTAGGAGGAGTCCTGTTTTGTAGTAGCTTACAAAAAAATTGTGTTCATACAAATAAGGCGCACACTAATGCGAGAGGTACTCCCTATCGACTAATGGTATCCCGGAAGGCCAACCATAGAATAATGTGGAATAATGTGATGAGTACAAAATGTAAAAGAAAACTTGGTATCTAAAAGTAACAAAAAAATAATCGCTTCTAACGTAACAGAGATGGAAGTAATAAATTCGTTGATATGGCGGTGTACACATTAGTACTTAATATTTTTTTTTTTCAAAAATAACTTGCGGAACTTTTCAAAAGACATTCAAGGATAACGTTTTAAAAGAACATATTGAATACATACTCGTGCTTTTGCTCCAAACAATTTTTGAAGTGAAACTTCTTTAGCGGCGGTGGTTCGTGGGGACTAAATTAGCAAATTCAACGGAAATTGCACACGGGTGCAATGGTGCAACGGAAATGGTTGAGCTGAAACAAGTGCTTCTTGTGTGTATGCATATGGTATTAATTTAACAAAAATTTGCTAATAAAAGGTTAAAGAATATCGCTTAGAATACAAGAATGAAAGTTATTAGTAACTTGATTGTTTTTGTAACAGAACAGGCTTTAGCACAAATGCAAAAATTTCGAACAGAACTTGTTATTTTTAAAATTTCCCTTCTGTTAAAGTTTGATTTTTTTTTCATTTTTTCATTAAATACTAAAAAATAACTGGATTCACTAATTTGTCAGAAACTATCAGTCGTATCGGAAAGTGATGTATATATGGTTTATGAAGAATTTTATTAGCTTTGATTTTACATATGTCATTTTAAGATCTTAAGTTGGCTCGTAATATATACGTGATTAAGTGGAACCACTTTTTGTTTTAAGCTGAATAACGGTAAATTGCAAATATCTAGAAAACGTATCCATAGAAAAAAATTAATTCGATTTTCGGAATTACCGAGCAATTCTACATAGAAATTGGGTAGTGGCATCAATTGAAAATTTTTGCTGTAAACCAGTCTAATTTTTTATATGAAATACGTGCAGAAAATATTACTCATACGCCATAGGATAAATGTCCCTACTCGAACACGAAGTATGAGTAACATTTTTCATGTTAAAGTTTGAATTTTTTCATTCCCAATGCAAACTTAAAATCAGGGTTCGTATTTGCACACACATGCTCTGCTCACACACACGCCAGAAACACATTCAACTTGTACTCACTGCTCATACACATGTGTGTGCATAAGTAGAAAACAAACTCTGCTCACAGAAAAGTGTGTGCTGTTTGTTATTAAGCACATGCACATGTGTGTGAGCCGATTTTTGTACAAATTTCAGCCCATGCACATGCACATAATATATTTTTAAAAGAATTTGTTTATTAAACGTTATTTTTTGAAAGACAATTCAATAACAAGTGAGGTGTTGTTTGTTTTTTATATGACAGAAAACATATTAAAAAATTATTTTAAGATTTGAGATAGAAATCGAAGTGTATAAGTTTCTCTACGCAAAGCACACACATGTGCGTGTGCTTTATATTAATAAAAATAAAGTACACACATGTGCCCGTGCTTTTTACCAAACAGCACACACATGTGATGTGAGCAAGTTTTTAATTTTTTATATGCACAGCACACGTGTGTGAGCGTAAAATGTTAGGATGTGCTGCGCATGTGTGTGCAAATACGAACCCTGCTTAAAATGAAAATATCTTAGGGAAATTATGTGATCTAGAAAAACGGTATTCAGATCCGTAATCTACGACCCAAAATTAAGTTTACATGTCTGGACGTTCTTTTGTATCATTTAGGCGTCTATACAGTGTAATTTAAATCAAATGTCTCAGGCAAATGTTTAAGGGTTTCTCGAAGAGTCGGAGGAAAAGGGAGATGCTAAATGTCTTTGTTTTTCAAAAAAACACAAAAAATTTATTGTTTCCTATCTATTTAGCATAGAAATTCCCCAAGAAGCCTGGTGCATAATGCCTAAAGTGATATTTTCAATTTAGAGCCTAATTTTTGTGATCTAATAGTACAGCGTTTAATTTAAGCTTTCTGGTAATTTTACTAAAAAAAAACCCTCTGCTTCTTTATTATTTAATTATAGTAATAAAGCTATCTATAAAAAAATGCAGGTTTAAGCATGATAAAAAAATTGGAAGGTGGAACCGCTGAGAGGAATTTTTCAAATTCTTGACGTTTGAAAGCAATTTAATTTTAAAATTTTACACACAAACTCACACACACATTCTCATTTTCTGTCTCAAACAAAAACAACTTTGAAGAATTCCTTTTCTTACTCTCAATTTTATATGATTTTAAAATGTTGGCAAACTTCAAAAAAAAAAAATCATGGCCGACGAATTGAGAGAACGGTTTTACCTTACTATGTTTTTATCATGGGTTTAAGTTCTACGTGAAAAATTGCCTATGAAGGGCTCTCTTGTAAAATTTTGCCGGATAACGTATTTTTAGTCCACAGAGTGCTACCGAAATATGTAGGTAAAAACATACAAATTATCTATCATTATTCATGGGTTACATTTAAATATGCACATACATATTTATTTCGTTTAACTGCGAGTACTTTAAAACGATAGCATTACGTTGTTGTACTCACCAGCATCGATTCGTTCCCGTGCTCGCGAATTACTCATGCCTGAGTAGGGTGTATCGCCTTTAGAGAAAATTTCCCACATTAAAATACCATAAGACCAAACATCACACAATGAAGTATATTTGCCAAAGTTCAAGGCCTCCGGCGCAGTCCATTTAACCGGTATCTGTTTCATGCCATCGGAAACTGTAAAATACGTAACATTTTTTTTTAATTTTTTTTCGTTTTTATCAAATCAAACGTTCGTAATAGAGGTTTAAAGATTTTTAGCCTTATGATAATTTTATAGATTTTTCTTTTAACTTACCTATATACTCTTCCTCTTCACGCGACATTCCAAAATCGGAAATCTTTACTTGATTTTCAAAATCGACCAGACAATTGCGCGCAGCAAGATCTCGATGTATGCAGTTTTTGGATTCCAGGTAACGCATGCCTTTAAATTGATAAATCACAAAAAAGCAATCAATTTTAGATAATTTTTTCCAAAATATATATCCAAGTATATATGTATGCATTTTCAACTTACCCGCCGCAGCATCGCGGCACATTCCCATTTGTTGACGTGCCGTCAAAGCGTTTGAATTCTTACGCAAATAATTCAGCAATGAACCGCCTAAAAATAATTTGAGTTAATATCAATCTGAATTACTACGTTTGGATAAGTAAACTACGAAAGTTGGCCTTGCTCTCGGCTCCCTATGAGAACTTGTTTAAGAGCGGCTCTGGAATCGCTACGAGAGTGACTGAAGGTATATTTGATAAAAACAAGAAGAACCAGACAGATAGATTGAGAATAATCGCGGTAAAAAAGATGTGAGCTGTGAATTTGTTTTGAAAGAAATCAGATTTGCCAGGAAATTCCAGGAGAAATCCCGAAACGGGAATTCTAGATAAATGGGCTAGGGATGCAGAAAAAATTTCGATGCATCGGAAACATCGACGTTTGCTATTCGATGCATTTAATAAAACCGATGTTTTGGATCTTCCGATATATATAGAGATATATCGATGTATTTTTTTTCGATGCATCGACTTTTGTGTGCAATGGGTACACTGTACTTATTAAAATTATTTTGTATAGTTCCAAACTCTTCGCTCTAGTAACTATTCTAAATGTGTGGAAATTTCGCCATTTAAACACTGTTAGAATATACATTATATTAATATTTTGCAAAATATATTAGTTAATTGCACTAATAAATTGCTAATTTATTAGCAGAAACGTTTATTGCCAAACCATCTTCTACAAAATTATATTAATTGATATGATATTGAAACTCTAAAACCCTTCGGAAATTTGCGCAGATTTTAAATAGCAAATTCCAAAATTGTTTCACATAGTTTATAAACATAGTCAAGTAATGTAGTGATGTATGCTTATTTCAAAGCAAAATTTGAGTTTGTAATTTTCGCTTTTTTCAATTCGGGCTTTGATCTTTCGTTTTGTTAAAAACCTCTGCCTGATTTCGGCTTGGGTCCTCATCCAGAAGTACTGAATACATCAGTACTGCAACGTTATGTGTGCTTTTGCTCAAACGGCAAGAATTTCTTGAAATGTTTTTTTTTTTTTTTTAATTTTTATCTCAAATCAAAACTCTCATTTTCTTGTTGTATATTTTTAATTGAAAAAAAAAAAATGTTTATATTATCTTTCGATGCATCGAAAATATCGACGTTTTTATACGATATTTCGATGCATCAAATGGAAAAAACATCGTTGTATTTTTTTAGCTTGCATCCCTAAAACGGGCTACATAGCTATACGGAATTGAAAATAAAAACTTATATTCTGCTATTATGTATCAAATGGATTTGGTGTACATAATTGCAAACGAATGCGCCTGTCTAATTCTTTACTTACCCGGCACGAGTTCCATAACGATCATAATGGGCTGCTTTTGCACACAAATTCCAATCAATTTAACAATGTTTGGATGATCATATTGCTTTAGAATTCGTCCCTCCTGCAGGAATTTGCGTTTCTGCTCGTCGGGTAATGTCATGCGGCAGGTTTTTACGGCGACATCCTGTTTGGTTGATTTCAACTTTGCCTTATAAACATCGCCAAAATTGCCCTGCAATTTAAATCGAATGAAATCACCAATTGCACGTATAGCCTTGTCTACTCACTCTGCCAATTTTCTCTAGTAACACAACATCATCATTGCTCAACTCCCAACGTTCGCGGCAGATGGCACGTTTTAAAATGGCACCCGATTTTACCGTCACCGGCAATTCGGATTGATACTGATGCATGATGAGCTCTTGAATGCTGGGGAATGGCGGACCTTCAAAGCGGAAGTGACCATCTGTGGAGGTTTGCACAATGAAATGTTTATGACCATTCCAGCAAACGCTCAGCACAATTTGACTCTCTTCGTTGCGTATGGTTTCACGCACCAAAAAATCACCATCGTTATTGAGCAGACGTACGACTTCTTCGCGTGGCAATACGCCATGAAACCATTCTTCTTCATAGAGTGGACGGTTGGTAGAGAGGGACATCTATGGAATGAAAATGAAGGGTTTAAGAGAGGCAGTTAGCAATGAAGTTAGGGAGAGTTTAGCGTTGTAGCGTTACTAAAGCATATAAATAAAATGGTAAATTGTGTGTACATGCTCACAGAGAGAGAGAAAACAATGAAAAACACAACTTACACTGCAAAAAATAGCTAGCAAAGCTTAAATTTTTAGCAAGACGTGTGCGAAAAAAAATTTCTAAAGCATTTGATTTACATACATATTTACAGTTGTATATTAATATGTGTTTAGAATTGGCATTTAAATAATAATGTTACACAAAACCCACTTAAGACATTATCTTTTTATAATACATTCGCACAGTTATAATAATACATAAATACATATATTTTCTTAGTTTCATCAGTTGAAAACATAAATTGAAAAATTTGCTTTTTATTTGTGTCTTACGAAATTACATTGAGGATTTTAATCAGATATTTTTTTAATAAATATAATACGTTTACGGTTATTTACAGTGTATTTCTATTGTTTAAACTAAAAACATATAATTATGTAAATAATTTGATAAACCATGTTATTACTAATTTGATTAACCCATCGTTCCCGCCCGCTCCAACTTTAGAGAGCAATTTTCAAGATAAATTACATTTACAGACATTCCTTAAGACCTCCTCTTCAAGGAAAGGAGAGAAAATGGCCGCCCAGTCAATGCCGAGTAAAACATTCAGCACATTTTTGAAGGTGGCTTCGATAGCCGAAGGCGGGTGCGCAATAATTGGTTGGAGACCGAGAAATACCTGGTCTGAGCCCTTTCAAACCAAATGGTTGGATGTGTCATTACAAGGTACTCCCGAGTTACCTGGTACTCAGAGTAAACCAACTTCTAATATGGGTACACATCGGCTAATCACAGCTATTTACGTATATCGATCTGGAAGTTTCATAGACAACCAGGTTGTCTGTAGTTTATATAAAATGTTTCATGCGCCTCAAGGTACACACTTTTTTCAATCCACAGGGGTCTGCCCTGACATAAAACTTTATTTTTTTTTATCCCATTTTAGGGTTTTGTGCAAACACAAACGGTTATAGGAAAATTCCACTAAAACCAGATGACAATAAAAAAATTCCATGTTAGTGCAGAGCCTAATCTTCAGCCACTTTGCACTTGGATTAAGGTTTAAGCTACTGCAATATAATGAGAGCTTTTGTTCAATTGCGATCAAACACGTTTCATAAAAATTGTTATTTTAGTGGGAAAAAGACTTTTTAGAACGACTACTATATCAAATTTTAGAAATTAATGTATCATTTTTTCGTCACTGTTGAAATTTAGTACCCGAAACTAAAATGTGACGCCAACAAATCTATGAACATATTTTAATCTAAATTTAGAAGTGTTTGGCCTTGATTTTTTTTTTTATTACAGCAGATAAAAACAAAATCAAAATAACAAGCACACACACACATACATAGTATGTAAGTAAATATTGCATGGAGGATTTCATTAGCCAAAACGTTGGACGCAAATACGTATCAAAGACTATTTTTAAGTAAGCGGCTACGTAAAAGGAATACATACACATGTACACTAGGGTGATCCAAAAATGCATGTGAAAGAGTAAGGTCGGAATTTTTATGCTCTCCCCCCCTAGGACTGTTCTATACCGAAACAATATACCCCTATTTTTTATTTTGAAACCAAAAATTATTTAGAGGTAGCGGAAAAATCCACTTTCAATCAATCAATATTTTTCGATCGAAAAAATCTGTTTCTCTTCAAGAGATTCCCAATAATAATACCCAATTATTTATTTAACCATTTTTTTTGTTTAAGTAACTATATTTTATAGGTCCGCCAAAACCCCCAGAAAATGCCAGAAAATGCAATGGGGTGATAAACAAAAAATCTTTAGTTTTAAAAAATGAATATTGTTATTGGAAGTCTCCTGAAGAGAACCAGAGTTTTTTGATCGAAAAATATTGATTTACAAAATTTTCATACCATTTCTACGAAAAGTGTTTTTTTCCCAAATAAAATACACGGAAAAGTCTGAGCGCTTTGCGCGACCTCTAGACACTTTTTGAATTCAAAATAAAAAATAGGGGTACATTTTTTCGATATAGAACAATCCTATGGGGTGAGCGCATTTAAATTTCGACTTTACTTATTTTGAACCACCTTAATGCACATACACATGCATGCGTTGTACTTCGATCCACGAAAATTTTTATCTAACTTTTTCGATATTAGAAGTGACATTTTCACTTCCGGTTATATTAAATAATATCCGAATATTTATAACTTGGCTTTGTTTGAATAATTTGAGAGAATAATGATTAAACTGTATTGTGCGAAAAGCTTTGATTACTTCAAACGCCGCACGGTGCCAGATTGCCAAATAAACTGCGATAAAATGTAGTAAATATACTCCGATTTTACTGAAATCTTCTATATGTTGTACTTTAGCTTACCAAACGAAAAACGAATTAAACCGAAATGTCGGATAATATTTACCATTCCAGTTTATATGGAAATCTTCCACGGAGAAGCGTTTAGTCTATGGAAGATTACCGAGAAGAATGCAGGCGAATATAACTGAAATTGGTTTGTATTTGAATTGGAGTACCTATGCGGTGTATTTTCTATACCGTATTCACCGAATATTCCGGCAACTCTCCCGAACGTTATTTAAAAAGCATAAAATTATTTAGGTATGTGTGAAGATTAGAGGTGACAAAAAAATTTAATTACTAATTAATTAATCATACCAAACCACACACAATCACAAGCCAAAAAAATATATTTGCAATTAATTGCAATTATTAAGACACTTTTTTACAGTGAATATTCACAAAAACACTTTTCCATAAAAAATTTCTAATTCTCTTGTTAATTAGGCCTAAATAAAATAAAACGAGCAGTTTTAGCGGCGATAATTATTTATTATTTAACGCAGTTTGGAAAAAACCAAATTTTGCATTTTTTTGTTAAGCAGTTGCGTTTCTCGGTGGCTGTAGCGCCAGCTTTTGAAAAAAGGCATTTAGCAAGCACCGAAGTACCAACTTAATGGCAGTATTATTTTGAAAGTCCGTAAAGTTTTGGGTAAAGAGTTTTCATTTCCTCCCAAGCGTCGATGATATTCCGCTTGGACTTGACAATTTAAGTAAAAACTCATTTCTTCTTGCGGGTGACCCCCACTCATCATATTTTCGCCTTCGTTTGTGAACAAGCGATTTATGAGGGGCCCAAAGATGGAACTAATTTTCTACTGACTCTAGTGACGACTCGCTACCAGTTTTTTTTTATATATCTATACATACATACACACATACGTATGCATTTATTTCAATGTATTATGTATTTATAAAAATTAAAACTTAAACTCTTATTCAAAATTGAGTTTGTCCGCAACTAAGTAAAACAGTTATGAACCTTACTAGCATAAACGATTTGGGCCGTTTCTTTCGCCCAGGCGGCACTGGTGGTCCGGCGATTTGTGTCGGTGACGTTGTGAGTAGTTGTGAAGAGCTACGACTACTCAAACCCGAAGAACTCATTTTGAAGAAGTTGAAATGCTGTAGAATTCCCTCCGTTTTCGAAATTTATAATTTACCGTTGTTTCCAATTTAACACGCGTGGCGTACTTTGTAGATATTTTTAGTGAAAATAAGGCAAAATTAATAATGCCGAAGTGCAACAGTTTTTGTTATACAAATTTTAAAGTTATCTCGTATTAATTTTTGCAGCGGTTGGCACGAAATGCGGCGGGTATATTTTTGGTCACCGATTGACTAAAACGGAACAACTGAATGCGGTAGATATTCAACAATATTTAGATGAAAAAATTTCAGAAACTTTGTAGGTATGTATGTATAGAAATAAGTACATATGTACATACTACACATATATGTATGTACGCAATTTAAATACGAAATTCCCGCTACTACATATCTAAGGATGGCACACTTGAATTTGCATACGTTCGGAGAGCATTGGCCCAGTTAAAGAGATGAAAATGGTAACGCGGCATAAATTCGCTCTCTGCTTGCTTGAAATATATATATTTTTTTTTGTCTAGCCCCAGCGGCCGGTGATGCTATTCCGTCTAATTTTTTTTCAATGAGAAATAAATGTTTTGTTAATATTTTTTGTTCAACGAACACAATAAGCCAGTTTTATTTCAGTCGTCAAATACGTATATTCTAAGAGCGAAATAATTTAGTTTGTTTTGTTTAACTATTTGTTTAATACACTGAATGCGCTAATTTTAGTTCAACCGCGAAACAAATTGTTTCTCAGTGAAGAGATTTCATTTGCTCTTCGATTTGTATATAAAGTGGCTGGTGGTTGGCGAGTCAGTGTTGGAACGCATCCAAAATTCGATTTGCTTGATTTGCTGCAAACAACCAGAAGTGAAATGTACCGGCTTTATTATATACTTGCCTATATATACACACATGTAAATGAAACAGGTGGAGATGCGATAATGCACTCAGGGTAGCACAGCTTCGTGACCTGAAGGCGTTTATACTTAGCAACACTCATTACACCGTGCGGCTGTCCAAATGAAACACTCAAAAAAATCAATAGATATATTCGCGAAGCAAGGATTCAGGATTATTTGTTAAAACGACATTAAATTACAATGATATGGTTAATACGAAAGAATATTAAAAAATATCCATAAGCCATGGCTAACTCCTAAGAGGATTTCGATGCACAGTAGTTTCAAGTTAACACTTTTTAGTAAAAAAAAAGTTATTTTCGGTGTTTCTATGATAGGGACTTAAAATCAAGGAATGAAACCGAAACCCAAACCGTAACTGTAACCGTTTAAAACCGTTTCGTTTTTCAAAACCGAAACCGAAACCGTAACCGTTATCTTGACCTGAAAAGGAACGATACCGAAACCATTTCAATCACAGGTTTCAATCGGTTTCCAGAAATTTACAAAATTAATAAATAAAAATTTCTTTGAAATAAATGATTTATTTAACCAAAATCAGCAACATTTTGTTAAAATTCTTGTTAAGTAGTAAATAAGTATGGCAAGGTAACTTTTCGCAAAAATCTGCTGATGACTTTGTTGTTGTGAATCGATAATCGATTAATTATATTTAAGTAGTTTCTTTCCCGTACGCAATGCGAGATCCCGCGTGTGCCCAAAATAGCCCAGAAATCATGCCTGTACTCAACAAAATGGTTAATAGAGAGCGAAAATTCGAGCGTATTCGATCGTAAGTGTATTCTTCTTCCTGCCCGAAATAGCCCGAAATTTTCTCCGAGTAAAAATGGATAAAGTGTCAAAGTGCATATCAGCTGTATTGTATTTACATGTTGCCTGCATTTACTTGGTGCTTTTAAGGAAAAGTGAATGGCCTGTCGATGTATTTTCAATCTATGTACTTAAAATCAAATTTGTGAAACCAAAATTCAATTTCCAAGTGTTTGCATTTAATACCATGTTCTGACCGACAACCAAAACATTTTTCCTTCATTTTCTTTTCATTTACAACCTTTAACTTTCATTCTTATTTTGCTTTGGCCAGGCAATTAACAATAAATCCGAAATGGCGTATTAAAGATGATAAAATATGACTTCCACTTCGATAAATAATCGAAAAAAAAGTTTTAGCAACGAAAACATGTTTCCGATGTCGGTCAGAACATGGTATAAGTGACAAAAACAAGAACAACGCGAATCAGCTGTTTCTCGATTTGTGGGCACGAAATGTGGGTTTTTGCGTTTCCGTACTTCTGAACTTTGTTCCATTTTTGAAAGAAAATATTTCTCTTAGTCTCTAATTACCAAATCCGGTCCGGATTGTTAGGGAAAGACCTAGTGTTGATATTATCAGTGAACTGTAATTTTCGATTTTCTTTCCTCAACGTTTAAGACATTGTGATTTAAATAATATCAACAAAATTTCTGTGAAAAACCGAAACCGGAACGAAACCGAAACCAAAACCGAAATAAATTTTGAAGAACGAAACCAAAACCGAAACCGAAACACTTGGCAAAACCGAAACCCAAACCGGAACGTTATTTTGAATCGGTTTCATTCCTTGCTTAAAATGTTTAAACAGAAAAATTATTTTTTAAACAAACTTTAAAAAAAATGAATCGGTGAGTACGACAATCGTACAAATCCAAAACTAGACATTTTAAAGTAAGATAGCCATTTTGTTTTGGTTTTATATTGGATAATTTTGAAATCGGTACCGAGTATCGATCAATACTTAAAAGTATCGACTCAGCGCATCACTAGTCAAAATAAAGTCTACGCTAAAATTAGTTGCAGCTTTTTGACATAATTTTCAATGTAATAACTGTTAAAAAAGCTGCAACTATCTTTAGAGTCGACATTATTTCGAATATGGATAGGTCCCTATACTATTTTCGACCAATGCCTGCAATGACTGGGAGGCATTGAGGGCTGCGGGTGCGTTAAGATCTGATTAGCCTTTTCCCACCACTGGCAACAGCAATGACAGTTGTCACCATTAGAGCGCTTAAAATAAAATTTGCGACATAGTATTAGGCGCAGTAGTAAATAGAATAGTCTGCTGTTGAGTTTTGTCATTGGAGTGGGTGAAAAGTATGATACATTGGAGCCTTTCTTGTTTTTCTGTTCCGCATTTGAAAGTTTATGTGTGAGGTATTGCTTCAACATAGGGTGGATGGTAATTAACTATGTATGTATGTATATAAATATTACCGTTTTTAGTACTCTAGTAGATAATATAAAAAATTAGACATGTAGAGTTAAAATTGTATTTGATTAAAATTGTCTTTTTTTTATAAATAAATCTTAAAATAAAATCTATTATGTTATAAATATGTAAAAGGACATTTTTTCTTTCAGCCCCACGTACAAATTTCGTTGTCGGTCACAAAAAAAATTTATAAATTCATCGAGTATACTTTGTATGGAAGAAAATAACTGACCTCGTCTAACAAAAAAAAGTTTTTTTTTGTTATACTTAATTATTTATAAAAAAGTAGCGGCAACAAATTTTTGAAAATTTTTGAATTGAAAATTTGTATTTTTGCTAGCGCTAACTGAAAAATTAAGATTTTTAGAGGCCGATAACGAAATTTCCACATGGGACCGAAAGAAAAAAAAAAATGTCATTTTATTTGACACAGTCTAACACGTACAAACGAGTACATACAGTGAGCGTTAAAAATAAGTATACCGTAGACGTTTTGACGATTTTATTTATTTATATTTTCCATACAAATTTTTTTTTCATTTTTTTTATACAAGTATATTTCATTCAACAGAAACACCCATAAGAATAAGCTTTTTTGTATTTTATACAGAACTCAGAAAAAGACAATTTTTCAATTCCAATAATTTTGAGTACGCTGTTTTGTAGTGGATTTTGCTGTTGATTGAACTATATTTTTTACAAGAAAATTAGAAAAATTTGGTATGAAAATTACAAATATGTAAATAAAAACGTCACAACGTCAGGGTGTACTTATTTTTGACACCCACTGTATATAGATAATAAACAATATACATATATTTTTTCCAAGTGTAGCAATAAAAAATTGTAAACTCAGGATAAAACAAATACATATTCCCGTTTCTTATATTTAATAGGTGAAATTATTTACAAGAGTTTACCATGCAGCAAGTTTGCACCCGCTAATTCGGTAAATTTTAACTTTTTTTAGTAATAATAAGTATTCAAATACAAACATATATAAACAAAAACTCAACTATACATACATATGTACGACAATAAGAAAAGGAAAACTATTAAACAAAATAAATAAGAGGCCCAGTCAAGCGAATACGCTAATTGCTGTACATTTCGAAAATGCGGTCGTTGGTGCGACTTTAGTGCGTAGGTGATGTTGGTGCAAAATACGTACGTATGTATATACATATGTAGTCCAAATCAAGATTTGCCAAAGAATATTAATCAAAATTTCTAAGCTACGCTCTTGCCAATACACAGCTACCTACATACGTACAGCTACTTCTATGTATGTGCAATACTTGCGAGTATAAATGCTGTAATGGTTGCAATTTTTATTTATTTTATACATAAATATGCATTTACGCATTCTGTGGTTTTATTTTCGTCTATTTATTTATTTGTATGCGCTTGCACTTTGGTTCAACTGTACTGGCGACCAGTGAACGAACTACTGCCGCATTTACTACACTACTACTCACACTCATCGCCAAGCTGGGCACGCTGTAACAATGCTCCTTTAAGCTGAGCTGATCTTCACCACCGCTGCCTTCATCTTCAGCATCGGCTGAACTCATCGAATCGAAATGCATTGGTTCGATGAACGCGTTCTTATTCGAAATTTTCTCAGGCGGACAAGTGCAGAATTCTTCACTGACCGCATCACAGCTCTCCGTGTTTGTTTCTTCTTTTTTAAAACTAAAGTCTTTGCTGAAATCGAATACGTTCTTTGATGGATGCACGCGCCGGCGCTTAGTGCACTGCTTACATACTTTATCGCGTTTGACTTGGAAATATAGTAGCTTGGCGCGGAATGTTTGACGCAGGGCTTTAGACTTTTTCTGTAGCTTTGGCACTTTGAGTCGCAGCTTGGCGGACATGCCAAGCGGTTCGTTTTTGGACGGATTCGTTGCATCGACGTGCATTACTGGCGCTGGCATTGTTGTACTCGTATTTGTATTGTCTGTTGAGTCGTTGTGGTTGTTATTATTGTTACTTGGACCTTTTTCTTTGTTTGCATTGCCGTTACTCTTTGGCTTCGTGTCTGAACTAACTGTGCCCTGTGTGCCTTGTGTAATCGCATCGACCGTTATGGACGGATCATTTCCACGACCATTACTCTGCGTCGCTTTGCCGAGCTCCGGATCGATCAGCTCAAACTGATCGCTGTTCTCTTTGTACTCGACCAAAGTTATAGTTGGCTTCGGCACTTTTGGTTGTGCATTCTTTTTGGTGAACTCTTTCAGGTTCGTCATGAGCGCGTTTATGGATTTTTGCGAGAACGAAACAGAGCGTTTCTTGTTATTGCCATTACCGTCACTATCCTTTTCCTTGCGCCCTCCACAAGGACGACAATCTGAGCTCGAACTGGACGTGCGTTTCGAGGACCAGTGTGCCGCCTCTTGTTCCTCGGCAGTTTTCGTGCGTACTGTAACTGCTGTTGGTTCGGCAGCCTCAATAGCGTCGACATTTAGCGGCGGCCGCGTCACAGCATTTTGTGGTAAGTGGCGCTTCATGCGATCATCCAATGTGCGATTCAATTCGTCGATCTTGTCCAAATGTGCATCGATTGAGTTCTTCACCGTTTCAAGCGTGTGCGCAGTAGCTGAAGTCGGCGCTGTCTTAGGACTGTTGTTATTTTCCAAGACAGCTTCCAATCCACTTTTTTCCACAACATCTTGCCGCAACTGAAGCGCCCGATCTATCGTAAGCCTTGTGCTGTCCTCCCGATTTATTTCGATCTTCACATTTTCTTGACGTCGCAACGCCAATTCGCCGCTCCTAACACTGTCGCAGTCACCCCCCAACGACTCGCAACCCCCTAATAAATCTGCATATATATTATTGTTGTTGGTTTTATGAGCGCTCAACTCGTCGTGCATTTCGTCGTTCGGGTTAGTATCAATGGATATAACAAAAGCGGTAGGCGCTTCCTCTTCATTCAAACACAACATTGAAAGCTGCGTGCGACGCAACTTGGGAAACATTTTAGCAGTAGCGGCGCGCCGATCAAATATAATTATTGAATCGGGATCTATGTCATGCAGACCATAGCTGGTGTTAGCTTCGAGGCTGGTGGCCATGCGCAAAGGGTTAGTAATGGGCTCGTATTTCGCGGGACTAGTATTTACCGACAACGATCCGAGACTTTGTGAGCGCGGCTGCAGCTTATTGAAACGTTGCGTGCGCGTACGATTTGCGGTGGGTGTGGTCGGCTGCGGTGTGGATTTGCGTTTGAAAGGTCTACCGCGCAAAAGTGTGAGTACGCCACCTCGACGTCGCAGTTCATTCATAATACTTACGCCAGTGGAATTGGTGGATGCCGCAGAGTTCTGCTATTCAGAGATTGTTGTATGATTTATGGGTTTTGCATTTGTTTTGGTTGGATTTGTTTTGCAAAATTTTCGATTGTATTGCAATGATGTTTTTGGTAGTTTAAAAAAAAAATTGTTAAGTGAATAATAGTGTAAAAGGGAAGAAAGAAAGTTGATTAAGTAAAAAAATAAACATAAGCGTACAACTTCCAGAGTAAAGATGTAGTGTATTCAGAACTTCGATTTTCTATTTATTTTTGTTCTAAGTATTCAAATGTTGTCTCTAAAAATGTGCTCATGTGTTTTATAAGATGTATCGAAAAGTAAGTATTCCCTGCCAAAGTTTCCTGCTATAGCTGAATTTTTTTGTAAGCGAGCGACAAAAGAACGCTCCGCACGGGTAAAATTTCTTATTAGCTACATAAGCAACCCTGTTGGTAGCTGGCAAGAAACATTTGATTAGTTTAACGGTATATATATACAAAAACCAATTTAAATGGGTAACTATGCTAGGTATTTGCGTAAAAAATATACTTTTTTAAAATATAAGTCACGTATTTCATCATTTAAGCGAGCGTTCTTTTGTAGCTCGGTTGCAAAAAAGTGCACCTCATGCGAGTTCATGAAGTAATCAACTAATGGTTGTCTCGAAGAAGCTATTAATTTAGGCCTGAGCTGTGAATTCTGAGACTACTACGATATGTATGTGAAATCAAATTCATACTCATGGGGAAAAATGGGTGTTTTTGGAAAAGGGGCGTGGCACTTTCCATACCAGCTGAAACTTTCATATTGCATAGCCCTTTAAATATTTGGGGTAGAGTACTCAACCTTGTTATGGAGATTTGGAGAAATAAAAAATAAAATCTTTGAATTATTTATTTTTCATATTTGTATAAAAATGTGTGGTGAAACCCCTGCTAGATAGACGGAAATACAGTTATATTACCAATTTTTGCGAGTAATCGCCTCCACCTACTCTGTATTCTAATTTGGTGTCGCTAATACAGAATCGAATGGCATCTTCATATCCTGGAAGTGCTTGGAGCCACAATTCTCTGCATGGCATAGCTATATACACGTGTACTCGTATGTATACCACCATGCGACAGCAAATTTTACACAGAAAAAAAAACAATATACTGGCGAAACTAGTTAAACGAAACGTTAAAATCTTTTTTAAAGGACTTTGAAATTTCAAAAGATATTATTTATTCAGTAAATTAATAAAACATTTAGTGAAAGGTAGAATAAAAATATGGATATTAGATAAAAGAGAGTACGCATAAGTATGGAGAGTGTTCTTTGCATCTTTTATCCTTGAACATCCTTGAGAATTTACAATATTTGTGTTTGAAAAAATACATATTAAAGACTAACATATCCTCAGATTTCGTATTTCTAACTTTTTTAGCTTAAAAAATTAAAAATAGATAAATGTGCTCTAGCGCCTGTGGAAATTAATCTCTTACTGTTAGTGCAAAAATATCCTCAAATGTTATAACGGTATAGCCTCCCCTCCATGCCACACCGTTGCTTGCTTACAGTTGAAATCCATATTCTCTATACGGATGGCCTTTTCTACGGACCTGGTCAACGCAACTCCTGCAAGCTCCAGTATGTCTTAAGTCTGGTTTCAAATATTTCTTCTATTGCTTAATATTAAGTTCAGACAGAAATTACAATTAGCCTTTTTAATTGGACTACCGTTTTTTGGTGTTCACACACACAGTCTGCTGTTTAGTTCGAAAGTACATTCCGTAAAAATACAATTTTAGGATCATGGATTTATTTTCAATTTAGTGTTATGACAAGGCTTAGTTACATAACTAGTTGTTTGTGAAGGCGTTACGCAACTGAAAACATTTCAAGTATTTTATGTCCCACTTCTCAACTTCTATGATGATAATGAAAATACTATTTTTAAATTTTTTTCGAAATTTTTCATGACGTTGTGGTGAAGCCCTTCATCAAAATACATGATATAATCCATTTAGTGGTTTTCTCTTTTCAACTTTACCGGATCTAAGATTTTAGACCAAATCCAAATATTCATGCCCGAATTTTTACTTCGGAAAATCACAAGTAATAAATTTGTACAAGAAAACATGTAAATAAATAAACCTCACAATAGCGTTCGAACTAACGCAACCCAGCAAATATTACCGACATCCCAAAAAAGCCCCTTCACTTTTCGATACATCTTTTACCCAAAATCTCTCACTGTGACTATTTATTAATGCTTTCCAAAACACCATGTGCTTTTTAAGTGTACATATATTCGTAACAGTCGAAAGGCACAAAATCACTCCTACCACCAATAGCAGTATATGTACTTAATACTATGTAGATATCCTTAACCTGAACACTATGTATGTATGTATGTACTAACTCTTCAGCCCCTTCACCTGACTTGTGTGTGATATTGCAATATTAAGTAAGCTTACAAATAATATCTACTCACCTGTTGATCGTTATTAAAACTATTTTCTATGAAATTTTGTTCCAAATGATCATCACAGCCAGATGGCAACTCTTCGCAGCCAATCTCATTTAAAGCACACTTAATCATATCCACCAACTTTTGTTTTTGTTTTTCCTGACAACGCAGTGAACCGAGGTCCTTTGATTGCCTACTATTTAGTATTTTTAGGAGAAAAGATTAAAAAGTAAATCACTAATTATTTACTATTATAGTTACAAAAAAAAAACATGCTCGCCTACTTTTGACTATCCTTCGGGGATTGGATGCCATTGCTAGCGGTGCTACCGTTACGCGTTATGCTGCCATTCGCTATAGGTGAACCACCATTCGCTTGCTCGATCATCTTTAGCTGTTTCTCCTGGCAATCCTTCACTGCGAGTTCCAAGTCAATTAGGCGCGATCGCAGCCAATCGACGGTAAGATTATCGACTGTTAGCGTATTTGATTGCAGTTTGCCAGGTATGTCTTCGATGAGTGCGTTATCGAATTGGAATACCAGCGGTGTGGCGGGGGAGGTTCTGCAAATGTTTCACATTTAATTTAAGGCTAATACTACATAATAATGATGGTTAAATTTTACTTGTGTTTCTCAGTGAATTCCCGATACTCCTCACTGGGATTTATGCTGTTTATCACATTATCAATTCGCTTTTGTATTTCTTTGAATTTGTCAGATGTGAGATCTCCATGTTGACTGGTCTCCTGCAGTATATTCTTCCAGAGTAGAATGAAACTTTCTTGCACGGATTGTTGATGCTCCAGCAGTCCAGGCAGTAATACTGTACGGAAATCTTTTTCCACCTCAACAGCTTCGGTGATGGAGAGTACATATTCGTTGTGGGTGAGATGTAATTTGCGGCAGGCTTTCTGATATTTATCGCGTACATCGTCCAACTTTCGACCACCACGACCGGCTGTAAGTTGTTGAAGGAAGATAGATAGATTTCTCAGCATTTGAAAATGATAAAAATAACTTAAATTTTTCGTGTTACTATTATAAGCTTCAATTAAAAAAAAAAAAAAACGTTCTCGTTGAAAAACCAACATTTACATACAAAAATATGTATAATTTGGGACGGTATTAAGCCATAATTGCTTCAAAAAGTACTAAACAAAACTAAGGTTATGAAATCTATACTAATGTAGGAACTCGAGTTGAGGGTAGCCACGTTTAAAGCAAACAATTTGGGAGAGAAGAACTGAGAAAATTGAATTGTGAGCACGTTATGACAAATTTTTGGTGATACAAAAGCGTAAGTATGTATGTACAGTAGGGTGCATCACTCTCCATAAAAAAAAAGTGTTAAGGCTTCTCCGTCTAATATAAAATTGATTATATTTCAAGAAATTGGCCAAAATACTTTGGGAAAACATTAAGATTTACTTAAATATACTTCCAAAAATTTAGTTTTTTTTACAAATAAAATTAGCCTTAAAAACTATTTTTTCTAAAAAAAATCACCTCAGATGATAGAAGTCTTTAAGCTTACAAAGTCTGCATAAAAATGTTTAAAAATTTTATCAACGAAATCAAAAAAAAATAGATTTTTGGTGGTATTTTCATCGAGCTAGCTCACGTAAATCTTAATATTTTTTCAAAAATATTTTGATGAAGGTCTTAAAATATACCAAATTTTATAATTCCGGTGGAATACCGCAAGGCTTTTTTTTTTGTGTGAGGCGCCCTAGTGTACGTATATTCATAAGTAAAAATAATTTATATTTTTTTAATTATTTTACTTACATTTTATGTAGTGTTCCTCGAAGCGTGTACGCAGTGCTTTATAACCCTCCAAATGTTTTTGGTATTCTGCCTTTTTACGAACGACTTCGTCTGTGAGCTAAAATAATAAAAATGAGCATGGGGTTAAAAATTAATAGAACAAATTAAAGATAGTTACGAAAAAGTGAGATCCAAGAAGTTTTAACATAAAAACTCATTGTAAAGTACTTATAATCCTTATGCTGACTTATACATATTAAAAAAAAAACACTTACATTTGTCCATGTAATTGACAATTATATTTAAGAGTGTGACAAATTAACTGTTGACAGGGTTGCCTAACTGGACGAGGTTCGCAAACATATGCACATAGTCGGACGAATAAATATACAACTATTGCATGGATAGAATCGATGATAATAAATGGATGATAATGATCCGGCACATTTGAAATACAGTACATTTTTGGGAAATCCTTTGCGTGTACTTCGTTTTCTCAACTAAAATTTTCTAATTTCTATAGTGTATACAACTGTTTTATCTTACTTTGGCATTGGACTTTTGTTTTACTAATATGTTTCTACTTTCAATGCTAAATGGGAAGAATTCAAAGAATGACACCTTTTTAGGTACTTTTATTTTTCTATTTGGCACATTTTGGCACTTTTTTTTTGCTCAATATGGCATTTACTAGCTAAGTATAGTTGGCAGCCCTGCGCCCAATACTCTGCCACTTTGGAAGAGAACTCCGAGCAAGCAAGTAAAGTCCTCTAATTATTCATACTTTTATATACCCTTTTGTTGCAGCATTTTTTTATACATATACATATATATGCAATAAACCCAGTGGGAAAAAGTAATGTATAGTAATCGAAAAAATAAATATTTAGTCCCGTGCCCATCTTTAGTTTTAATCAACCTCAGTGCTTTTATGCGTTTGCGTTGTTGACTAAATGAACGTTTTCGTGGCATTTGCTATGTAGCACATTTGCATGCCACCAGATATTGGCGGTCGCTAAAATGAGTGGTTAGTGCGAATGCAAGCCTATATTGCGATTAATCTTATATTTAAATTAAACAAATTGTATGCCAAACATATTTCTTTTGATTTTTGAGTGACGTCGATGGGCGTCTTTTGCTATGTTGATCTGATCTGCACTGCGACTGCGGAATATGGAGGAGCAGAGTCTCTCAGTATGTCCATCAAGTCGATGTGTGCGTCTGTGGTAATCACTTCTTTAAGTATAGTTATTTGATATTTGCTCTAATTTCGCTTTTCTCCATTTTGATGTTAACTCTTCGACTGTTCGTATTCAAAGGAATGCCAGTGCCTGGAATCGTGTTCCATTTATATGAGTTTTTTATGCTGACCTAGAGGACATACAAGCAAGTAACCGATTATCATAACTTTTGGATCATCATTCCAGCGATGTCTGACCTTCATTTATATTCATGCGAGTAGCGTAGTCAAAACTTATGTAGTAGTAAGTGGGCGGTTTCACGCGCATTGTCCAAAATTCCGTAATAATAATCTTATTTATTTTTAAGAGTTTATTTTGAGTAAATTAATTAATTTTCATATTTCAGAATTTCACCGCTATATGAAAAGCGGGCGTAAGTTCAGGCCAATTGCAAAACTTTTCAACATACGAGTATTTTCTTTTTGTGTTAAGTACAGTAATTATACCAATTTTGGTACACACTCATAGAAGGGTTACCGATATACATATATGTATATGTATGATATGTGGTCATAAGTGCGCGGTGTCATCGGGTTTATTGCCAAAGAATTATTCCAAAATTTAGTTTCGAGTAAATTAGCTTCAGTAGTTACTGATTTATCGCTGATTTAGTATTTTCTTAAATAACCGTTATATGGCATATGGCATGGTTATTCTCCGATTTTTAAAATTCTCAACCGTTTGCTAACTTGTGCCAAGGTCAACAGCTATGTCAAGTGTGGTAGAAATTGGTAGAACGGTTACCGAGTAAATACATGCTTATAAACATAAGTGGGCGGGGCTATGCCCATTTTCCGAAAACGTATAATGTTCTTATTTCCCGTCAAGAGATCATTGTTTATACAAATTTTAAGTGAATAAGCTTCATTAGTTACTAAAATATCAAAATTTTCGTATTTCTGCAAACTACCGTTATGTGGGAGGTAGGCGTGGCTATTGTCCGATTTTGCCCATTTTCAATACCATCCGTCCTGAGCTCTAGAGAAAACACGTACCAGGTTTCGTTAAGATGCCCCAATTTTTACTTGAGTTACTTAAAATGATCCATCCTAAGAAGTCCCTATAATGTCTTATGCCTAAAGGTTTGGGTCTCCACTCCTGCAATATTGCAAAGTTAATTAAGGAACTGAAGTCCACTAATGCTGCTGAGCGTCACAGACTTTACATGTTTTATTATTTAAAAAATAAATATTCCAATGACTGTTGTTACGGAATTCTTACTTTTTTATTTAATTAACACATTTAGGAAATTAATAAAACGTATTAGGCTTTATAATGTTCTAAAGTAGTAAAATCTTTCAACATAAAATAACTATTAGATATGTAGCTCGTACAGTTCGTTATTACATCTTCTTCGGTACCTATCGGACGCGCGAACAGGGCGTCGTCTATCTTTTTACGATTAGCGATTTTTTGAGAGTGATATTTTTTTCATCGAGAGGAGTTGTGCGTTTGAATTGCCTACCGAGCCTAGGTGTTATTATGGACAAGAGTTATCCTTCGCTTGATCTCCAGGCTGGCGTTATTAGTGGTGTTAATGCCGGATCCTAGATAGGCAGAGTTCTTCAATATGTAATTCAGAATCATACATAACTGCCAACAGAGACTTTTGGAATTCTTGAACTCTTTGTTAGCATAATAGCATAAAATGGTAAGAAAAGAAAAGTTGCATGTATTTTTGCCTACAGGTTACATAACGGTAATTGCTAATTAAAATCAATTAGTGAATGAAGTTATGCCTAACAACACGCTTGGATACGTGTAAATAATTACAGAATATGTTGGAATACAAAAATACATTTTGTATGCTTAATGAATTCAAGATATCAGCCTGATTCTTGTTACATATGTATGTACATTGGTATTTACATAATCACAATTTTATTTTTTTTTATAGACACATTCATGTACACATATGTATATCGCCTCCCAACTGCCTGATCTCACTGCACTCTTCTGCTTATTAGTTAATACACTTCCGCAATGTTTGCAGTTATCGCACTTAATTATGCATTCACCGCCACCACGCAATACTGAGCGGAGATGAGCAACAAAAAAAAGAAAATTACTAAAGTAAAAAAAAAAAAACAATCCAAACTATACAAAATGCTGTGCATACAAAAGCATCACAACATAACATTCATCCTCATCATGCGCGTCATCATCGAAATCTTCTTTATCTTCGTTTGCGTGCCTACAACAAACTGACCATTGACGGTAATCACCGTTGCACAAAAAACAAATAACTTTGTAAAAAACAACGCGTTTTCTCTTTGCTCTCCTCTCATTTTAGAACTGCAGTTTTACCACATAATCATCAGCTATGGCTTTTGTTCATCGCTTCACCATAAGCACTAATTTCGTCGCTTCGCTTCTTCTCAACAATCAGCAGCAATGTGAAGTTTATCATCAAGCCGCCAAACAATTTCCAAGCTCCTGCTCTTCTCCTAACTTTAGGCAAATTTTTACTTTACCTCACATGCTGGGTCTACTGTTCTGTACTGGACTTCGCTTAAGTGCCCACAATCAAGCATTCAATTAAGAAATCTAAGTGGTACTCATTTTCTTAGCTTCCAGCTGCAATAGAGTCTGCTCAGGCACATCTGGTGCGTATCCAATAGACAAACAATGGCGATGATATTCATGGATTTTTTCTGAGAAAAAGAAGGTAATTTTAAAATACAGCAGCGAGTTACAATGGCAGCGAAGCTTGATTAGAATAACCTAGTCTTTATGCTGCCAGTACTGTCAAGTGTACAAGTAGTTATGTTATCTTATGTTAAGATTTATTTGAATTGTTAACATGCAAAGTTCAGTTCTAACCCAAGGTGGCAGCAGTTGAAGAAAAGTTTGCTGCAGCTGCAACTGCTGAGACCAATGACTTTGTACCAGTGTTGCCACATTCACGATCTTAACTGATAGTTATAGTTTTTTAAAGGAGCTTACACCAGTGCGCGCTTCCACTCCGCTCTTGTCAATGCAACATCGCAAAAAATATAGGAAAAATGGGATTTTTTTAACAGCGGTCGTACCTCGGCAGGCAATGCCGAACCTTCGAGTGTATTTCTGCCATGAAAAACAGCTTCTTCGGAGTCGGCGTAAAATTGTAGGTCCCTCCGCTTTGTATGACAACATCAAGGCTCATGCCACAAATCGGTTAAAAGCTTGGCCAAACACTGACATACACATGCGTAAGCGCCAATCTATTAGCATTATTATTAACCTTAGAATCGACTTTATTTCAACTATGAATATTGCCCATAGTTTTTTTTCAAACCTTCAGATTTGAATAAATAAATTAAAATATTTTTTCTCGTTTTTTGGAACTAAACTTTTACGGTTGTATGAGGCGCTGAAGGTGCAGCGTTTTCTCTTTGAGTAAAGGAGTTTCAGCTGCCCTTTGCATACCAGTAGCTACAGTAAATATTGAAATCATAATTTTCCAAACTAACTAAAGTAAAACCAAAATGAGAAACAAATTTTAAAAATTAACAAATTATTAAAACGGGGACTGTTATTTAATTTTAAATTAATTGTTGTTTTTATGTACAACCAACTCCCTTGATTTTCTAAAAAAAAACTACATTCAGTTTTTTAAAAATAATATCTGGCAACACTATATTTGTACCTGTACAATAAAGTATTGTTGTAGGATGCACTACTATGTATGTACATATGTACATAAGTATAAATAATATTTTTTAAATAGGTATGTTTTTACTGTTATTGCTGCGCGCTCATTCTTTACCGTGTTCGCTGATTGTTGTTGACGATGATAGTTATTTTGATATTTTGTTTGTTGCTCACGTGCCGTCTAGAGATGGTAACAAAAAATTTATTTTACTTTTATTGCACATTCCATAGATAGGCGTGACCT